ATGCCCAACACTCCAAGGGCCTTCTCTAAACCTCTAAAACTATGCTCAGCTGTTTAGCTCTCACACAACAGCCTGCGGTGCTGTGCCCAGCAGTTAGTGGAGGTGTGAATTGTGAAACACCAGGGTGGACAGAAGATGTGGTTTCCAAAAGTTATACCCTAAACACCCTGCCTGACCACCTGACTTCCCTCTTCTTACCACCATTGATGATGTCACCCCACCTCCACACAGCTCTCCCTCTTGCCACATCACTCAGCACACGTTGAACCACACAGATAGGTTCTAGAAGGAATGGTACTTGGATGCTTCAAGTAATGAAAGGAAAATGCCTCCGTTTTAGAGTTGGTATCTGTCAGGCACTTAAACAGAATCCCCACCTCTTCCACAAATGTGTGTGTGTGTGTGTATGTGTGTGTGTGTGAGAGAGAGAGAGACAGAGAGACAGAGAGAGAGAGAGAAAGAGAGCATGCCTCTGTCTCTGTAACCCCAAGGTTAATGGGTTGCAATTGACATGAACTCCAGGGACCAGGTGGTCAGCTAGGATGGAGGCATCAGTAGCCTCTCCTGGAGATCTGGATGCCCAGGAGGGCACTGGTGGTCCAGGGGCTGCACTGGCACTAAATGGGGACATCAGGGAGGACCTTGGAGAAGTCTGCAGAAAGTGTGCACCTGTCCACTTTGAGGAACTTGTTTATAGAGCTTGGGGTTAGGAGGGACAGCCAGTCTGCTAGTCTCAGCTCAGGACCCCATTTGGGAAGCATTGAGAATAAATTCTGAGGACAGACCCTGCTCGGGAGAGGCCTTGGGCACAAGGGCTGGCCAGGCTTAAGGGCCAATCCTCCCCTCAAGCACCTGTGTAGACTGGCCAAAGATGGCAAGGCTGCCTAGGATGGGGCATATAGCGTCACTGGGGGAAGAATCAGGAAAAAAGCAAAGGCACGAGGGAGACAGGCGTGTTGAATCAGGCCAGGAGCAGGAAGCACGGGCAATGCCAGCCTGAAGTCTGCTGGCCCCGTTTCAGTAACATCTGTGAGCACAGAAATCGAGGGCAGCCAGCATGGGAGCACTCTGCCCGTGGGTGAAAAGGAGTGCGGAGGCATCATTCAGAACCTACAAATGAGTAATGGACCCACACCTACAGACACACAGAGGACACAGAAAGAGCAGTCTTGTTTGCATTTCTTGTAGAGGACTCCCTGGGGATTCGTGAACTGCTTGGAACTTCCATAAAGCCTGGACACTTTATGTAGGTGACCAGCTCCTTTGGACCCCTTTTCATAGGGGTGGGTTTAAGAACCTGAGTTTGTGAGATCCTGGGAAGGCTTCTGCCTTTCATTTAGAAAGTAAGGCACCTGCCTGCTTGAAGTAAGAAAGCCCAGGTTACAAAGTAACAGTCATAAGACGACGGAGAATGAGATGACCTATAGGAGCAGGGGAAATACATGATTTTCTTTGCTTGTGTACTAAGTGAATTTTGACTATAACTCAATACTTGCCCCAGGTCCTAAAATGCCATTGGCTTTCTCAGGAAAGTCTTGGAAAGGATAAAGTGCAAAAACAGCTGCCACAAAAAAAGACACAGGCTTTCCAGGTTCTCCTCCACTTTGTAGCTACTTGCAACTGAGGACATTGAAGTCACGGTTGTTTTCTCTCTGTCCTTGGTCATCATAAGCATGTCGGTCTGTCACACAGAGTGTGGGAATGTTCCACAGATCGATAGTAATTCTGGGTTAACACTTCCTCAAATTTCTTTATCCCCCATGTAAACACGGACTGCTGCTATTTACACCCAACATACAGTTCCATGATGTCTTTATGGAAATAATGCTTTAAAGGGCCACTCTTTTTCTGTTTAGAGCTTTTGTACACCTCTTAGTATAAAGCGTAGGGCAGATATGCTTCTACAGAATTGTTACTTTCCATGTACTGCAAATGGCTGTTAACTCTTGAGTTTGAGAAGTAGGTAAAACTTACCTGTTGGGACAACTGGACCCTGGATGAGTGAGCCCCTGGGGGACTGTAGCGGTGCTTATGTGCCATGGAGTCAGTTCTGACTCATAACGACCCTGTACAGGGATTCTGAGGCTGTACATCTGTATGGGAGCAGAAAGCCTCATCTTTCTCCCACGGGACGGCTGCCCTTGAGGCTAACAGCCCGGTACATAACCACCACACTACCAGAGCTCCTTAGGAAACTCCACACAAGTGGCCTGGGCTGCCAGGGTCTCTTCCTGCCCCGCACAGCCCTCTGGGAATCTCTGTGTGCCGGACTACATGCCCTGGTAGCAGCAGCAGCAACATTCAGCTTGCTTTGTTTACCTACAGGGATGCTTGTCTGTGCAAAATTCTTAAGTGGTTTTTGTTTTATTGGAAATGAAAAGTCAAATGGGGGTGCATGTGAAAAAGTGAGTCCTGGAAAATAGACTCTCAAAGTACATGTCACCTATTTTTATGTTACTAGTTACATGATGGCTAAGTTGGCTGAGGGGATTACGTGGCAACTTTTGAAGTTCCTAGTAGGTCTTTGGACTAGGCAGTGGATGGATCTACTGATGAGTAGTAGAATTCTCACCTTCTTTGAGGGAGACCCGATCTCTAGTCCAGTCAAGGCACATCAAGCACAGCTACCACCCATGTGTAAGTGGAGGCTATGGTGTTGTTATGACGCCAGCAGGGTTCAAGCGAACTCTCAGACTCATAGGGACTCAGAAGAAAGACCTGAGGCTCTGCCTCCAAAATCCTCAGTCAATGAAAATTCTATGGATCACCACAGTCTAATCTACAACCAAGCATGGGGATGGCACAGGCCTGTTTTGTTGTACGTAGGATAGACATGAGTCGGGGACCAACTTGACAGCAGCTAATAATAACAAAGGAACTCTACAAAACCCTGCAATAATATACTTTTGGTTTTTTAGAGGAAAGTAGAATCAAGCGCATCCTGGTGTGGAGCTGCTGGTTAATGCACTGGACCGCAAGGCTGGTTTGACCTGCAAAGTCGGCAGTTCAAGTTCACCAACCACTCCTCAGGAACCCTATACAGGGTTGCTATGAGTCAGAACGGACTCAAAGGCACTTAACAACAACAATAACAATATCTCATGTATCTTTCTAGCCTCACGGAGCTGTGGGAGAGGCAGGACAGATGTCCATTCTGAAAAGAAGGAAGGAAAGGCTGACAGAGTTGCTGGAGGTCACCCAACTGGCCACACTCTGGACAACCCTGACTCTTGGGTCAAGACAGCAGGAGTGTCTGCCGACACCCAGTGAAACATCACCGCAAAATCTATCCAGACTGTTTCCCCTACCCCACAACATCTTAGCTCGCTAAATCTTCCTCCTTCATCATCTCCAGTCCATTAACAGCATACATTCCAACTTCAGAAAGAATTTTTCAAGGTATTAAAATGCAAAACAGGAGCACACAAAAATTTCTTGCCACAGGGAAGAAACTGATAAAAAGCAACAAAATAAAGGGCATTTGAATGAAACCTCCAAAGTGGTCATAAACTGGAATTCAAAATCATATTTTAACATGTACACCACACACTCGCTTTGCCAAGAATGACCGGTGGTGAAGTCTCACTTATAAATGAAGCCATGAAGTACAAAAGAAATAGTGGAAGGAGGAAGGAGGGAGACTGCAAGAAAGAATGGGCTCAGGCACTTGAATGAGAAGGAGTTAGTCACAAGCCAGTTCCCAGGCTGGGTGCAACCTGGTGGCCCCAGCGCAGCCCATAGCCCCTCCACCCAGAGGGACTTCCAGGAAACTCTGTTGAGAGCTCCCACAGAGGAGAATCTGACCAGTAGAGTTTATAAAGTGATGGACAATAGGCCACACACTGTCTGCTCCCAACAGTAGTTGTCAGAGGACAGATTATTCTGACATAGCAGGCATGGCTCTTCTGCCTGCCCCTCAGTCTTCAGAAGTAAGAGCAGGAAAATAGCTCCCAGTTAGTCTAGTTTTTATTACAGGATAGATCCAAGGAAACTTGAAGTTCTCCATTTGGGGAGTTCAGCTGTGTCCTCCCACTGCCCGGTCTACCCCCACTGCCTCCCCACCCCACCCCCATCTCCCTACAGAGCAGCGCCTTGATTTCCCATCAGTCTGGGCTGGGCTGTACAAATGTCCTCTTGGATTCCCTATTTTGGCAGTTTTCTTAAAGGGCATTGACCTGAAGGCAAGAATGCAGAGGTGGCGCCAGACGCTCAGCTCAGCATCCACAGGCTGCCCAGCCCAGCCCAGCAGTCTCCTGTGGTGAGTCAGGCAGCCCCAGCTTCCACGAAAGGGTTTCATTCTTATACAACTGAAGCAACTCTTCCACTTCCTTTGCTCAGTGGAAGGAGCACAGCTAGCTAGCAGGACAGAAACACGGTAAACTCCCTATGCATGCACACACACACACACACACACACTTGCCCAGGCTAGACAAGGACAGACACTTTGCAGCACCCTCCACAGCTCTGGAGTCCCTGGTTGGGTCTCAGGTTTGCTCACGGGATGTGAAGCCGCTTCAGCAATAGTGAGAAGGGGCTTCCAAAACCCATGTGCTTTAGTGCCTTGCCAAACACATGGAACAGACTGCAGTGTAGGCAACTTTTCAAATTGTGGCTCTTGAGGACTTGCCCACACATATGTGGGAGGAAGATGAGGGTGCACCCCTCTGTCCTCCACCGCACTCACTACTGACCCCCCACTCCCCCACACACACACACTCGTAAGCTGCAAGCTTGAGAAAAAGAAACTAGAGTATCACTCTGGTTTTTCTCGCCTGTCAGGGAAATAAAACACGATCATTAACAGCAAGCCACCTAGAGTGCGAGAAGGAGCCAAGGTAAACCTTTCCAAGTGCCTGCACCTCACCGTGTAGCAATGAATGAATGGGCGCCTGCAAGGCGCTCAGAGCACCAGTGGGGGAGGAGGAGGTCGCACATGCCTCCAGAGAAAGTGCTTGACCCCTAGCGGGCGCGATTACCAAATAAAAGAACGAGCAACTCACCTTTAGGTTGTGCGTAGGGTTGACGACGCAGACAAGTTGCCCAGCAGCGGAGAAAACCCGTTTAGCCTTGTAATGCTGGAACCCGAGCTGGATGAGATCTAACACAGCCCCAAAACACTGGGTGAAGAAAAGCATCACAACTTTTGGGGGGTTGGTTGGCACAGGGAAGCCGCGGAGGAAGCTGCGAGTCCCGAGGCGATGGAAGGAGCGCAGCCTGCGAGACACTCTACAGCCTGGCTTAGCGCGCCTTCATATTCATCATCAAAATAAGACGGTTAGAATCTTGCAGCAGTGAGGCGGCCAATCAAAAGGACAGAAATGTTATCCTTGAGGTGCAGAGACAGCCAATAACAAATGCCTCCCTACTGAAACTCCCTGATGAATTGAACCTGGCGGAGAATGTATTATTGAACATTACCATAGATCAGCACATTGCATTTATCTTGCGATTACAGCCAGCCATACATAATGCTGGAGAGATAGGCTGACAAAATTGATTGCTTAATGTGTCTCCATTTATTAATTGACTTAATTTAACAGGAGAGCCTTTCTTAATGCCCTGGCAAAACCGGGAAGCGTTTACACCGCCAGATAGTAAACCACCCGGTTCCAAAGTAGGCAGATGGATCAACGCGGATCCGGGCTGGGCTCGCCAAAGCAGCTTGGAAGAAAATCAAGTATTACTAGACTCCTCCGATTCCAGAGAAGAATTTGGCAGCAGCAGAAATGTGGATCTTTCAATCTTGCTTGCTGACTCTCTGCAATTTGGATATCAGCCCCTTGATAAATTTGACTCTCTATTCTTTATAAAAGAAAAGAATCCCTAATCAATGCATTTGGAGTTAGAAGAGGGGAAATGCACATATATCTCCAAAATACTGCAATTACTGAAGCCTGAAAGTATCAAAGCATAAAAATGCACAGAGTATAGTATGCTTCTAAAAATAATGAAATCCCTGATGCATGAATGCACACACACAGAGGAAAGTGACTTGTAAATCAGCAAAATAATTACGAATGCAGAGGGCCATTGCTTGTCATTCATTTGCATATTGGTGGACAGCAAATTGATAATTAACCACTAGACTACTAGACTGTTGGAGACGTTAAAATAGAGATTAAGAGCGCACATACCACATCATTTGCTTGTTTCTGCTACTGCTAGCAGCACGTTGCTGTGCCTGGGCAGGCAGACAGCTTCCAGGTCTCAGACTGCCAGCCCCCTTCCTAGAAGCGGGTTGGTTGGCTGCTGAATAAACTGATTGGTTCTTGAAGAAAGGCTCCTAAGCAGTACATGGGGCGGGGGTGGGGGATTATAAGGGTTTCTGGGGACTAGCTCTGTGTGTGTGTGTGTGTGTGTGTGTGTGTGTGTGTGGTGTGCCTCACTTCTTCGGCTCTTTCTTTGTGAAATCAGCCCAAATGTGGGTCAGAATCAGCCTGTGTTCAGTGGGAAAACAACCGATGCTCTTTTGCCTTTTTATAAAATAAAAATGAGCATATATGCTCATAGATTTCTTAAAGATACAATTTATCATTCAAAAAGGTTCAAACTTGTCTTTTTAGTACCTTTTGTTAGAATGGAATGATTCTGTTATTTTTTTCAGACAAGTTTCTTAATCCCACGGAGACTCAGTTTCCAGACCTGCTGATGGGGCTAATAGAAACATCTGTCTCTCAGGGTCATTGTGAAACAAACATACCTGCAGAATCCCCTAGCACAGCATCTGATAAAAAGCAATATTTCAGTACTTAATTCTACTAAGTATCATTAGTGGAATGGCAACTATTTATTTGTTTATTATTTATTTATTTATGTTTTATTTGTTTCTTGCTTCATGAAATATTTTCCCACTCTACCAACCTCATTGGCTCAAACATGAGGTCCTCATTCAGCAATTGGCCCTTCCTGATGATGTGCTCGGAGGAAGTGAGTCAGAATGTTCTGTTGTGATTCTTAAGGCTTTCACTGACCACCTTTCAGAAACAGATTACCAGGTCTTTCTTCCTAGTTTGTCTGTCTGGAACCTCAACTGAAATGTGTCTACCATGGGTGACCCTGCTGATATTTGAAATACTGGTGGCATGGCTTTCAGCATCACAATAACACACAAGCTGCCACAGTATGACACACCAACAGACCTGTGGTAGACTGAAAGAGCTGATGTCCCTGATATTTCCTAGAGACCAAGACTGGACTATTAGGTGCTGATCCACACCAGTTCTGAGAAGAGTGACACAGACTTGCTGTACAGATACTTTCCCCTGGCTCCAGACAAGACGGGTACCTGTCATTCTGTTTTAGAACACAAGGCACACCGCCTGGTATCAATCAGAGTCAACCCTCAAAAAATGATCCACTGAACACTGTTAGGAACCAGTCTTAATAACAAATGTTTATGCTCAATGTCCCAAAATAGGGAGGCACAAACTAACCTTAAGGTAGGGAGTTAGAGCTGTGTTCACCTCTGCGGTAGCCACACATATTCCTTCATGCGATGCCCTGCACTACCAGAGCAGCAAGCACTGGCATTTACCTCCACTAGAAATTGGGATTTGTACATAATAAGACAATTCTAGGTTAAAACCCTGCACTACTGTTTAACTGGTACTTGGGACAAATTATTTAATCTCACTGATACTTAGCTTTGTCATCTGTAAATTACAGGTAATAACTCCCTGGATAATAACATCACTCATCTGTCAGTTTGTCATACTGTAGTGTGTCATACCGTGATGCTGGAAGCTCTGCCACTGGTATTTCAAATATCAGCAGGGTCACCATGGTGGACAGGCTTCAGCTGAGTTTCCAGACTGAGACAGACTAGGAAGAAGGAGAGGTGGACCATTTCTGAATGGTTAGCCACTGAAAACCTTATGAATAGCAGTAGAACATTGTCTGGTATAGTGCCAGATGAACCCCTTGGGTTGGAAGGCACTCAAAATACAACTGGGGAAGAGCTGCCGCCCCAAAATAGCGTTGACCCTAATGACATGTATGCAGTAGAGCTTTCGGGATCTTCATCTGCTCATGGGGCACAACTCAAAATGAGAAGAAATAGCTGCAAACACTTATCAATATTCAGAACATTGAGTGTACAAAGTATGAATCTAGGAAAAATGGAGGCTGTCAAAAGTGAACGGGAACACAAAAATTGGTATACTAAACATTAGTGAGTTGAGATGGACTGATATTAGCCATTTGGAATCCAACAATCATATGGTTTACTATGATGGGAATGACAAACAGAAGAGGAATGATGTCACTTTCATCATCAAAAAGAACATTTCAAGATCTATCTTGAATTACAGATCTATCTGTGATAGGACAATATCCATATGCCTACAAGGAAGACCAGTTAATATCACAACTTTACCTATCAACCATTGAAGCCAAAGATGATGAAATTGGAGGATTCTACCAACATCTTCAATATGGAATTGATCCAACATGCAATCAAGATGCATTGATAATTACTGGTGACTGGAATGCAAAAGTTAGAAACAAAGAGGAAGGATCAGTAGTTGGAAAATATAACCTTGGTTATAGAAATGATGGTGGAGATGGCATGATAGAATTTTGTAAGATCAATGACTTCTTCATTCCAAATACCTTTTTCAATAACATAAAAGGCGATTATACACCTAGACCTCACCAGATGGAAAACACAGAAATCAGATTGACTAGATCTGTAGGAAGAGACAACGAAGAACCTCAGTATCACCAGCCAAAACAAGACCACGGGCCAGCTGAAGAATAGACAAGCAATTGCTCATATGCTGAAGCTTAAGAAAATTAAAACAAGTCCATGAGAGCTGAACTGCTCACTCTAAGGGTGGCGATTCAAACACACCAAAATTGGAAACCCTATTCAAGGTCGCTGTGAGTTAGAACCAACTTAATGGCACTTAGCAACAAGAACAACATCAAAAATTATCTGTCCAAAGCATTATGAAGTGTTGGTGAGGATGCGGAGCAACAAAAATGCTCAGTTTTTGTTTGGAAACCTGGGAGAATTTCCTAAAGTTGCATCACACCCTAAAACCCATTGCCGTGGAGTTGGATTCCAGCTGGTGGCAGCCCTGCACTGCTCCATGGTGTTTTTCTGTTGGTTTGTTTTTGTTTTGAATTTTAACTTTTGATTGTAAATTGAGTGAAGGTTTACAGAGCAGATCATCAGTTTTACATTCAGTAAATCATATACGTTGCTTTGTTACGATTGCAATCCTCCATCGGGTTTTCTTGACTGTCATCCTTCCAGAAGCACAAGGCCATAAGGTTAAGTTCCTTTCTAAACCAGAAGGGTGACTGAGGTCCATAGTCTTGGGTTCTTCCAGATCCTTACTGACTAGTAAGTCCTCTCTCTCTTTTTTTTTTTTTTAATACTTTTGAGTTTTGTTCCACATTTTCTCCCCCACTATCTGGGACCTTCTAATGTAATCCCTTTCAGAGTAGTTGGTAGTGGTAGCCGGCACCAAGGAGACTGATGTTCATGTGTTCCATTAGTCTACTGGACTAATCGATTCCAAGCATCTTCAGTTTTCCTCACTATTCTTATTGCCACACATGAAAAAACCAATAGTTGCCCCTTAGAAAGCAGCTCATGAGATTTAAAGATCCTAATCAATATTTACCAAAGTAGGATGTAGAACAATGTTTCTGTAGACTATGTATGTTATGTCAATGGACCATAGTGTCCCCGGAGACAATGATCCTGAACCTCCAGGCCCAGCAACTCATTGTCTCAAGGTGATTGATAATGTCTAAAACGTTTTCATCATTTTGCCCCCTGTACGCTTCACCATGGGAACAACGAATGGTTTAAAATTAAGAAAGGTGTGTGACAGGGATATATTCTTTCACCATACTTATTCAACCTGTATGCTGAGCAAATAATCCAAGAAGTTGGGTTCTATGAAGAAAAACATGGCATCAGGATCGGAAGAAGACTCATTAACAACCTGCAATGTACAGATGATACAATCTTGCTTGCTAAAAGTGAAGAGGATTTAAAATACTTATTGATGAAGGTCAAAGACCACAGCCTTC